TTTAAATATGTAATTTTTAAATATTAAATAAAAAAAAACAGAATGTATACATTTATTAAAAATATGTATTTATTTTGTTAAAACTCAAAGTAAAAATGAATTATAAATTTTATTTTATTGTCATAAAATATTATGGTATGGTAATTTTAATTTCAATAATCAAGCCTAAAACATGTTTTGTAATGATTATTATTTAGACGTGAGATTAAATCTGAATTATTCAACAAAAATATGGAGAATTTAGCATTATATAATCTAAAAAATTTCTCAGGTAGATAATTTAGATGCATTAATATTGAGTGGTAACTAATAGTAAACTAATTCTTCCTTACAATGTTGTTTTTCTAGTACAAATTCGAAAGAAATTAAAAACTTGAATATTTTGCTTGTACTCTTTTGTGCCATGGCCCATTATTGCACTTGGCATTTCGAATACAAAATGGTTTTCCAAACATTTTTCTTGATTTTTCGTACAGGATTCCATAGCGACCATACACGATATAAATCAAATATTTACGTATCGAGTACTCATAACACTAACTATAAATGATTCTTAAGTATTAAAAACGAATAGGGTTTCGCATACAATTATCTTAGACACCGCCATTAGACAATGGTTGTCTAGTCATTAAAGTACAATCCTCTGGTGTATTACCATTGTGTACAATATGAACTCCCCAGCTATTGTCCGTCAGTATGGAAATATATTATGTCAATTTGTTGAACGCTAGTTGGCATACACGTGGTGTGACGGCGGACACTAATCGTTGGCCCGGTACCGATACGGATGAACGATAACGGGTGATATATTACGGGCGCAATTCTTTTGTATTTAGCCCAGAAATATGAAATCATTCAAAAGGCAGTAAACACACATTAGGAGGCGGCGCGCCGGCACAAATATAAATAATGTTCATGTTGCCGTACAATGTACGTGTGTGTGCAATGTTATCCGAAAACAATGACATTTCAATTTACCGGTAGGCAGTCTACGTGAACTCGATTCATAAATTAGGATTAGAACGATATCACGGCGGTGGTGGTGGACCTACCCTGTTCCCTTCTACAAATCGTCCCCTTCTTGTTTTATCGGTCGTCACCCAACAGTCACTGCCGGAGAAGATATCTCGGCGGTGGTTACCTTCTCTCGATTAAACATTTTTTTCCGGTTGCTGCCTGCCGGATTACTATTCATACAAACACATACTGAGTATGACACGGCCTACGGGGTAGTGTACGCGGGCGGGAGGCTTAAAATCCTTTTATCCGTTTCCTCATCGATTTTTCATCTGAAAAAAGAGAAAGAAAAATAATAATAAAAAAGAACCCACACAGCTACTGCCGGCATACACCGTCATATTGACATTATACATACGTGCGCGTATAAAATATGTGACTTTAGCGGATCCCGTAAAAACCTTATCCATTGTCGGTCATATATTCATATCAATATTTTATTCAACTATTATTTTGTTTTCTTCGTAAGCCAGAAGAAATTGAAGAAATTGAAAAATAATTTTACGAGTGCAAAAATTATGTGTATTTTAAATCTAAAAGTCATGTTCAATCCATTAAAAATTTTAATTGATATAATCTCTAATTTTGTACGTATTTACAGAGCACATTAAAATAATAGTTTTTTTACCAGTTCATAATAACCAGGATCTAAATACTTTTATGAATATTAAGTCTTGCATAAAAAAAATTTAAAAAACTATAAACTAATAGACAATTGTTATTAGACAATTTTTTGTTTAAATTTTTTAATAATGAGATCAGGAAATATAATATTTATTTTTCATTGAAAATTAAAATTAAAAATCTTAAAACAGGTTAGATTCAACATTTTTTCAAAGAGTGGCACAAACATTTTTCAAATGTCAAAATCAAATTTTTGCTATTTTATGCATGAAAATACTTTTTTAAGTAGGGAATGATAATTTAAGATAGGGTCGCGTACTTCACGTGTCCTCCTTTTGGATCCGCTACTGTATTAAAATTGTTCCTATCAATTTATTACTAATTAAGTGGTTATATCTGAAATATACGTTACAATACTTGATACATAATATTAACATTATATAATAATGTAATAATATAGCTTGTCAACAATTATGGAAAGAGTTTCAAACTCAATTTTTTAACTAATTATAAAAGGCAAATTTTATAATAAGTATCAAAACAAATTCCATATTACTACAAATTATTCAATAATGAACACAAAAAATCTATTTGTAAACTTTTACGTTTTGTAAATTATACAATATCTCAATAATTATTTTCAATAATGAAAATACAATTCCAAATAAATACTAAAAGATTTTAATGAATGGTTTGTTTTTTTTAGCTTGAAGTTTTTCATTTATAAGGTATTTTGTCTAATAAATTTGATAATCTTGTTCTTCTATGTAAAATAATTAAATAAAATTCCACAACATACTACTATTTGCTTCTTTTCTATTGTTTATATTCTACTAAAATTAAATAAAAAATAAAACAGTTAAGTAACGTTTGCTATCTATACCTATGTCAACTTTTTTTTTTTACTAAATTCATTTTTTTTCTAATGTTTATTTTGATCAATATGTTTAATTCAATATTTCATTTAAAAAATATATTTTTTTAGATTATACAGTGTGTTTACCTATCTACATCTATGTGAAAATATACTTGGTATATTTTCCACTATACAGTGTATGACTTCCGAAGGTTTACTGGCAATATTTTCTTTAATTTTAGTTTTTAATTCATCAATATTTCGAGGTTTCTGTGCATTGACTTTTTAAATATCATTATAAAAAGAAGTCACATATTGATAAATCAGGTGATCGAGGTGGCCAACGAATATCACCACTTTTGGAAATAATGCAATTTCCAAAAATTTGTTGAATATCATTTATTGATACTCGGGCTGTGTTAGATGTCGCACCAATTTTTTGGAATCATTATTAGCTATCGATTTGAGGAGACTTTGTTAGTTCACCGACCAAAAAAATATTAATTATATTGACATAACGATATGAATTAATAGTTGTTGCCCGTCCATTTTCGTTTTCATGAAAATAAGGGGCAATATGGCAATATTGTCATAATGTGAAATTGCACACCATACAGTTACTCGATCGCTGTGTATAGATTGTTGATGAAGTTGGCGAGGATTTTCTTCAGACCAATAACGACAATTTGCTTATTCACAAAACTATCAAAATGGAAATGTGCTTCATCAGACATCCAAACATTTTGAATAAAGTTTTCGTTCATCCGGGTTAAAATTTCTTGGCAAAAAGTTGTGCAGGTTTTAATTCTTGGACCACCTGCACCTTATTCGGGTAAAAGGGTAGGTCGCTGTGTAAAATCCGACGTAAACTTTTACTGACAAATTTAACAATAACGCATGTTTTCGTGCAAAACGTTTAGGACTCTTTATGGGAGCGGTCTTAACAGCAACGACGTTTTCAGGTGTGCGTATGGTTTTTTTTCGTACAGGCTACTTTATTAATGCTGAACTAGTTTCTTCAAAGTTAGTTATCCATATTTTTATAGCTTTAGCCGATAGTACCGAATCACTATGATGTTTAAAATTAAAATGAAGACGAAATGAACGCTGTGCGGCTATGTAACTGTCATTATTTTTGTAAAACGATTTTATTGCATAAGCACGTTGTTCACTACTCTACTGTTCCATGTTTACTAAATGGCATGTTGTCTTTGAACTAATAATATTTAGTAAAAATTCTTATCATAATTACTATTAAGAAAATAGGCAGTTTCAGTGCCCAATACTGTACTAAAATTTATGCAATGTTATAGAAACGAAAAGATAATCTATAAAATTTACTCGTAAAATCTTAAACAAGTTAATAGTTAAAAAAAACACATTTAGACAGGTAAAATAATTATCATATAATAATTAATGTCGTCAAATTACTCTATAATTCTTAGGGAATTAAGTATTCAAATATTACGGATTACTACATAATGATCTTTGTGTTAGTATTTAAAAATTAAAAACACTAAACAAAATGATTAAACACTTAAATATGATAGATGGAGATGGAACGAGTGTATTTATATTTCTGAACCGCTTTTCTTTTCTCACCACTGTATAAAAATATTTTTATTTTTCAAAATATTAGTTCATAAGTTGTTATCAACCAATTATTTTAGTTAGATCATTTTATTATTTTTTAAGTCATAAATATGTATATTTCCATTTTTGTATAATAGAAAAAAATAATTCAATATTAATTCATATTTATATCTTAATTTTTGAAGTTTATTTAAAATTATAACGCACAATATCAACATAAAATACTATAAGAATTAAAAAATGTGGAAGACACCAAACTCAGTTTTTAACATTCGAAAAACCCATTTCTGTACAGTAATCAAGAAGTACAGGGTTAAATTATAAGCGGCGAGGGTAGCGAACACCTCGTAAGATATATAGGTTTTAATCTAGTCCTAAGTAAGTATATAAAAAAACATCAAATAATTTTAAAGGTAAAATTTCTTTGGTAAAAACTATTCAGGTTCGAGAATTATTCAAATTTTGTTATCACAAAAATTGTTATTCTAGTAATTAGTACACTTATTGAACGCATAAACTAAAGTTATTGTAAACAAAAAATTAGGTCTTATCATTTTTTTTTTCATTTAGAAATTATTCACAAAATTAATTTTTGGTTTGAGTTTTAGATAGTGATATACTGATTTGACATTTTTTTTTATATGATTGAATAAAGTATTAAATATATTTTTCAAATCTTAAAAAATTGTTTTTTTTTTTATAAAAACAGAAAATAAAACGGCCAAAGAGCAAAAGTATATCAAAAAACAGGCTTATTAATTATAATGAAATTATTTATTTTAATTAGATTTTATAACATTTAAGCATTAATTTAAATCTGTCAAATAAAAGATTGGAAAAATATTAACAATAAATATACGTAAAATGACTAATGACTAAAGACTACGAATACATTCTATTAATAGGCTATTTTACAGAAAGGAATGTAAATTTTTGAAAATGTACGTATTGATACTGTAGGAGTATGAAAAGAACATTTTAAAAAACTAATTCATTTAAACTTAGAAACAACAGCATTAAGATATACTATATAAAAAAAAAATAAAAGTTTTTCCTCTATAAATTCTTAAACATTATTTCTTAATAATTAAATAATATTTAAACTATTACAACAAAAAATGTATATGTATATTCAATTTGCGTCTTGTCTTTTTTCTCTTATTTCCCATTAACTTCACTAGTCGCCAACGATTGTAACAAAGTCACCATGTATAGAAAACAAGTTTTCTTTTAAAAGAGCTATAGGAGACCCATGTCATTATCTGAAAGATCGAGATTTTCTTAAAAAATAATGGCAGTTTTGGATAATGTGCACTTATAAAACATGAAAAAATGTTAAAATAAAAACTAGATGTAGTATGATAATATCATCAATAATATATTCTTCAGCAAATAAATAGTTTCAAAACAAAAAAATTCTTAAAATAATATAAAATAATACTTTTGAAATTCAAGTATAATTTTTATTTTATCGATTGTCAGAATACAGAAGCCATAACTATAACGAGGGCAAGTGGCTGTAGGGCTTCCAAACAGTAACTGTCTTGAATTTGTCTATCATACGCTTAAGCATAGAATATGCACTCACTACTTTTAAAATGATTTTTTTTTATTACCAAAATTGTAATTTTAATTTAATTGTCAAAGCATCAAATTTATTTACCTATTACATATGTATTATATATATAAAAATATAACGAAATAATAATTAAACGAATACAGAACAGACATCATAATTATGATTTTTTGTAACATCTACACAATTATAAAAAATAAAGTAAAGTTACTTTTAAACCTTAATAAAAATAAAATTTTTTATTTTTTTCATAGATGGTAAAATATTAAAATGACTATGATTTTTTTTATTTTAAAAGTTAAAAAAATATATTTTTATTAATACCTAATACGAACGCATATTTTTAATTTTTTTCATACCTGAAATTTCTAATTAAAACAAAATTTGTTTTTATTAATTTGTATTGTTATTGGCATTATTATGTTATTAAAAGTAATATAAATTCAATGCTAACTATTTTTGTGAAAAATCCAATCGGCCACGCGTTGTGGTTTTGTACGGAGATATGGAGTATTGATTTTACCCTTTAAATAATTTACTAAGTTTAAAAAACGTTAAACATGTAAGAAAAAAAAGTGGCTTAAAATTTTTTAGGCTTTATAAATAATTAAAACTAGTTGCAGTAAAATCTACATCCATTATATAATTATGTATTATAATATATCATTATAGATGCAATTTTGGTAATAACTAATAAATATGAATTCTATCAAAAATTCTATAGTATTATAATGAAAAAATATTTATAAATTACTTACATTTTTCACGCCAAGTTACAAGATATTCCCAACCAACTAATACACGATTTAGCTTCTTTAACACTTCCTGGGAACCCTACAAGACGCCTCAAAAGGAATTGGTGCCGCGACTTAAAAACCTAAGAATAATAACTTAATAATATTAAGAGGTTTCTCAAATGTGTGACTTCCTCTTCATGTTCAAGTACATTGTCAACTGTCTATAAATTATAAATATTACTTATTGTCAATACTGTATAGATTGTAATTTTTTAAATAAAGCAATTTAAAAAAAAAAAAAAAAATTACTTACATCATAATATTTAGTGTTGAAAATGTTTTACCAAAAATTGTGATATTGCAGTAATATATTTAAAGTATATTTATATATTTTCTTTTCTATTAAGAGTCCAATTAAAACTTTCCACGCTACATAAATTAAAAACTTGATGTTGTCATTAACTGATGAGAAAAAGTAAATTTTAAGTAAATTGTTACCACAGCGTATATATAACCAATTTCTTATTTTTAAAAACACGTTTTTCTATAACTTCACATCTATAAGAAATTGACCGCCAAAGTATAAAATAACTCTTTTTTACCTAAATTTTTAATTAAATTTAATATTAATATTATAAAATATTTCTAACATAAACTTTTTCAAAAAATAGTTTCTATAAGTAGTACAAAAATAAAAAAAAATTCTCTCTTTCAATAATAAAGTCGCAGATTTTTCTTCAATTACATTTACATTGAATTGTTTTATGATAGTAATATATCATATACTGTTAGATTTCAATCTACAATAATTTTCAACTTTTTTTATTTCCTCTATATCATGTTTAGGGATAGTGAACAAATTTCATATATAGTATTTCCCCAGATCTAATTCGAATGAAGACATTGTTCACTTATAAGCTTATTACACGTGTTTATCTAAAAAAATTATAATTCACGTAAAATGTTAAAAAATTAAAAGTTAGATTACTTATTTTTGAGCATGATCTCCTTTACAATTTTGAGCATTTGAAACTAACGCTGAGAAAATATTAAACTTTAATTTTAAAAACATATTTGAGGTTATGAGCTTGAGGTTGAAATTTAAAGAAAAAATGTTCTTATGTTCTAGAAAAATCTTAATTATATGTATTAGCAAATTAACTTTGAATTTCTCAATTAAACTAATACATATTTATTCATATTATTATCTTCACTTTTAAAACTTGTATAATATATTTATATATTTAAATTATGTATAACGGTTTTACGATTTTTAACTAAATAAATAAATATATATATACGTATGAAGAGCAATAATATTGATCTCACTTTTGGCGGGGATGACGCCGCCATTTTGTTTGAACTCTCGTAAACGGAAAACAACACCAAGGTATATTCCTTTTCTAGGATTAAGCTCCAACAAAACTTTTCTCTCTTATCTATACTCACGTCAATAAAATATATTAATAATCTAACAAAACAAACTGCAATACTAATTGAATTATGATAGAACTTTTTTTATTTTTTTATGGTGTAATTCAATAAACAATCTAGATAGCACTATGATTTTTTTTTTATAATTACATAGTATTGATAAATCATTTTATAATTTTATTTATATATATTAGAATCCACTGAATTAAATTATTAAAATGTTATGCATTTTTTATTGGACTGCCTGAAAATTTCAGTTGGTAATACGTTGTACGTCATTGCATACTTAATAAAGATTAAATTGAGCAGCGGTTCTCAACTTGTGGTACGCGGAAAGCTCATAGGTGGTATACGAAGAATATCTACCTTTATAAAAAAAATATACTCTATTTAATAGAGTATATTTGAAAATGATTTTTTTTCTTTAACTTTTTATTTGTAGTAACTTTATGAAATTATACAGAAAAAATAATATTTTTTGATTGACAAATGTTTTTCTTTACAGAAAAAAACTCTTAATTCACTGTTTAAGTCGTCTACTAACGCCAAGAAATTTTCGAGATCGCTCGATTTCTCTGGAGGAGATTAATCACTTTGACTTAAAATGCCGGTTTAGATAATATTTTTAATTTAACCTACTAAATACATTATACTGTTATTTTTAATATTAATAGAAACATCATGATTGCTGTATTCTAAAAGTTTTTTGAATCTATGAGTATATTTATCAGAGATGGTTTTAAGAAATCCTATTCAGGTACATAAAAGTACAGTACGCAGGACTATAAAGAGGGTTTCAACGTGCTATAGCTAGTGCAATGTTTAAGGTAGTAAGTGAGAACGAATAAAGTAAATTACTTTAAGTAATAAGTAACACAACATGTGACATAATTAATTTTATTAATTTTCTACATAATAAGATTAGTAAATCAGTATCTAACCAGGTAATAATGTTATAAACCATAACATCGTTTTATGTAACTGACAAAGATTATTTATTTTATAATTATCTTTTTTTAAATTTATATAAACAATGATTCTTGCGGTGAGCGCATATTTATGTTATTCTCACGATACACGAGAGTGCCGAAATATTGAGAATTAATTTCTGTGTCCAAAGCCAACGAGAGGATCCCGTGAGCCAGGTGAGATCACCAATGTGAGACTTTGATATAGAATACTAAATCGTCTTTTCTTAAAAATTATAAAAGCAGCTATTTAATCACTAAAAAAAATCCGTTTGTTATTTATTAACCAATAACAACATTTATTAGCTCAACATACTTTGTTCATTGATTCAATAAACGTATTTTATAAATTTAATTAAAAATGTTCGTTATATCAATATTTTTGTTAGTTTAGACAACGAACCATTGTACATGTTATTAATAAACAGACATTGTTGAGTCAAAATACTAAATTATTATAGTAAATAAATCTGTTCTTCAATATAACAATCTTATTTGTCAATATTGCATGGGAGGTATGTAAATCAATCACTAGTATTTCTATATTACGTCCTGGATATTTGTTTCATATCCATTTACTAATTTGAATTTGAATCCCAAATAAATAATTTATATTTTACACTTTTTTAGAAAAGTTTTTTACAACACTCGAAGTAAACCGATTTTTCCGAAAATTTGTATGATGATTGAATACTAAAAAAATATCTGTCTAATAAAATATTATCATCATACAATTTATGTAATTAACTAATAAAAGAATATTTATAAACAAAGTATTTATAGTTATAGATAATAATATAATATGTATAAATTACTACTATAGTATTATGATAGTAATTATTAATTTATCATTAATTTTAAGCTTAAACTAAATGACACTTTATGTACATACGTTCGCGTATTCTCAAATGCGTAAAAATTCCATATGAATGACCGAAAAACTACTTTTATTATCAATTATTACTGTGACATGTGTACGTTGTGTAACAATACTATTCAATAAACCACATGTTGCCGTGTCTGGGTTTACTTAACGTTTAACAAACGCGAATTGTGTGCAGTATTTATGTCTTAGATGTTTGTTCTACTACCCTGACCAATTGATCAATATAATAGAAAAAATTATGACGTATAAATTAACGAAACGTATTGGTTAAAAAGATGCCTCAACGCAAACAGAAACTATTATTGTTGAACAAAGAAACGATTTGACGATTTGTTCAGTTTTAGGAAAAAATACACACATTACTTGTTAACACCTGCAATGTAGATGATAGTGTCCCTGAATTTATTTTTTACAATCCTATGATGTATACTTCTATGAGATGTGCTATAGTTTTTTTTATTTTTTACATTTTTACATTTTAAACGGAAGTTTTAACAATTGTAAATACACATTAGAATATTTTCCCACCACCAAAACAGGTGGAATCTCGGTTTTATTATTATTAAAATACTATTGTCGTATATGAATGTAATCATATAACAGCATTATAGGAACGAAACAAACATTGGCCACAGATACAGTTGGTCGTACAATTTTTAAAAAGAATACCAATATAACAGCATGAAAAATTACTTGATTTATTTTTTTCTTTCAAATATTATTATTATACATCAAAGTTTTAAAATACCATTTTATTAGCAAAACAGAAAATTTTTTCTTTGTTTAAAACACTTTACGAAAAATATATAGTTGTTTTAACACATAAATTTTGCTTGCTTATCAAAAAAGCAACTTTTGAATGAGAAATTAACTATTTCAACCAAACTTTTGAAAATGTTCCATAAGTAATTCAAGCTTCAAACATTTGTTAAATTAAAGTTTATGTTACGTTCTATTAAGTATAAGAAAAAATTTGTCTCGACATCTTATCTTATATATGTAAACGGCACTCGAAGTTAAACAAAAAATATTATTTTTATGTAAAAAATCACCGTTTTTCGTATTGTTAAATTTTTGACTTATATATTTTTATATTTAAGGTCAAGTGGTATAGTTATATAACTGGGTGAAAGGAGGGGAACTATCCATTTAACCTCCCTCTCCTGACATAAAATATTTAAAAAATGATTTAAGTACTAGTGATAAATATTTTGCAGCTTTTATTGTAATTCCAACAAGTATATTAATAGAAAAGGGGATATCATTTTCAAAAATAATGCTCTAACTACCAATGGCTTATAACAAATCAACTCTTATCCACTAGATTTTTCTTAAAATAATAATTATGTATGTTAAGTATATCCTTTTTGATATTTATTATTTTTATATATATTTTTTTTCAACTGGTAGGTTAGTTAAATACCAATTGGATTGATATATCCTGGGGAAATTTTAGTAGTTTCCTGTTGCCTTCTGCACTGAGAACATGGTACTTTTTCCGCCACCGTAAAATCGCAAGTATGGTCACCCATCCGTTTACCTACGGCGTAGGCGCGGCTTAACACTAGAGTTATGTCAACAGCTAGTGTAACCACGGCGCTACACCACGCCTCATTTTAATATTTATATTTTTTAGTTCATCTTTTATATTTTATGGCAAAGTATATATTAAACTGACATATAAATTAAAAAATAATGTAATTAAGAAAATGGCTGATCAAAAACAACTTTTGACCCATTACCTCGGAAATTATAACTATATAAAAAATAGAATGAAAATGAAGTGTGAGTTATGTTATTTTTATCATAGCAAATTAGTCTACGACGCTATTCTTTAAGTCTATATTAAAAATATTAATAACTTCTGAAGTTCTATTTCATAAACTGTTTTCGGCCATTTTTTTAATAGATCATTTTTTATGTTATTAGCAAATTAAAGATGTATGTTGCTTTTTAAAAAATTAACTTGACACCCTTATAAGATATAAGGAATGGACCTAAAAAATATTTCATAATAGATAAATCGAAATTTATATGTAACTAACAAAATCCATAAATAATATACTTTTTATTTTAAGAGAAATTGATTTAGCGTCAAAAGAATCACTTTGTATATGATACAGAATGAAAATTATAAAACTGTCTTCAAAAAAATTTTAACAATACCGTAGAATAGCAATAATATTTTAGTACTATCTAATGATTTATAAGTTGACAGACTTTTTAAGGTATAAGAATTAATTAAAAAAAATTTAATTAATAAATCAAAAAATACATAAAATTAAAAAAAACAAAAAAAGTTTCTTTATATAATTATTCTTTAAAAGAAATATTAATATTAAATGAATTACCTTGTATACAACAACTTTAAAACTTAATAATTTCTCTGTGAAAATTGAAATACTAAATTTATTTAATAAATATTTAAAACTCTAATACTTATTGTAAGCTGCATATAATTAAAGAAATAGGAGTTGTTTTTGCTTAAGAATAATCCAACAATTTTTTCTAAAAATTAAACAATATCTACAATTTTATTTACTGAGCTAAGCAGCGTGTTTTTCATTAAACATAAATAATTTAATAATACGCCAGATTTTGCATGTCTCATATTTGCATAGGTTAGCCCAGTTTAAAATAATAATTTTAATTTAATTAGCTTAAATCTTATTTCAACTATTAAAATCTCATGGATATGACACCACTAAATTACTTAGACAAAATCAAAATTGTAATTTTTATACAAAAGAAATAATTTTGCTTCTTCTATTGAATGTTATATACAAAATTTGTTGACAGAACAAAAAAATATAACTTAAATTCTAACAGTAAAACTATCTGCTTTACAAAGTTTTTCTTAAAGACCGCTGTATCTATCATATGAGCTCAGATATAACACAATAAAATCAACGATCAAATTTTAATTGTTTATCTTTAAGTACCTACATAAAAAATTACCTAATATATCTAACATTCATTACAGAATTTTGATATCGCAGTTGATTATATATTACAAAATAATTTATTTTTATAGAAAGATAAACAGTTGTGACTTTTATTATAATTATTTTTTGTTTCTTATTAATTATTATTAACACGATTTCTTCGTACAATGGATTTATTGGTATTACAGTAATCAAAATCATCGACTCAGAAGTTCCCTTATGAAATCAAAATTATAAAATATGAGAAGAAACTTATGGGCAAACGTTGGTGCAACAAAAATGAACTTTTTGAAGGTGCTTAATTAATTTTTTAATTACTAAACCCCTAGTTGAGACTATTTATAGTAGCAATAAGAAACAAAATTAAAATTTTTAATTTCAAAAAAATACATTTTAATATTGTATTTAATATTTATGTTACTAAAACTAATATTCAGTCAAGAATACGTTTGCCTTATGATTTGTTATAACAAAATTTGTTTAGCAACTAGAATGTATTAGTTTTTTTTTCATTTTATTCTTATCACAAGCAACAACTTATAAATGAGGTGGATATTACATAAAAGTTTTGAAAAAATTGTACCCAATATTATTTTTTTACAATGAAATTAAACTCCAAACTAAGGGAGCAAAGATGAATAATAACTTGATCATGGGCTGTAAAAGTATCAGTTATATAACGTTAATTATTTTTTTTGATCAATAATTTTGTAATTTACATAGATTTATACATTAATTAAATTACGAAAAAAAAAACTTTTTTAATTTTTCATAATGATTAAAAAGTTATATGCGTAAATATTTCAAAAATATAGCTATCTGCGTTATCAATTTGACATAGATGATTTCAAATCGTATTTATTGAAAAACGTAAATACTATTTAAACACATTAATGAACATCAATGATTATTACACTGTATTATCACATAGTAACGTAATTAGGCGGAGATTCAGCGTCACGATAAACTTTTGTATGTAATCAGACGAAAATTTCATTTAGAAAAACTTACAAACACCATTAGTAAAAGGGCTAAATTAATATCGGAAATCCCTTAGGATTTATTCGGAGATCTGTCAAACCGCACATAATGCGAAGGAGCAACATGTCCCTAAATGAATTATCCCTCTGTAAATCCCTTTCAACGGCATCTATACCGCCACCGCCGTTGCAACTATAAAGAACTCCTAAATTTGATCCTTGTGCTTCCGAAAGCAGCAGTAAGCTATCCACGCGAACATATATATTTATCTGCGTGTGTGTATTTACAAAAAGGGGGTAGTACACATTTTCACTTTACCGCCGATGTAACGTTATACCCAATTTTTTCCCCTAAAGACCCGTGTGTCTTTTCATTTGTGACGGTCACCGCCACGGTGGTAAAGAGGTATATTATTAGAAATTCATTGCTTTGCCGGTACATACTCTATTACTAGAGCTACTGACGCTAAGGGGTGAACTTTATTATTAAAAAAATAATAATAATAAAAACTACCACAAAACCGCATAAGTGCTATAGAAAATGCACGAAGGGTTCGGAGGGCACGGAGGCATTATCCTTTTTCATTCAAAATCAACATACCGGAAAATCGTCTTGTGTCTAATCTAAACTCTGAAGTAGTCTCTCGTCATTGCCGCCCACTATCACAAAACGATTCCCAAGGGCTTCGAGGTTTTATTAATGACTCGTGCCGTACGTTATTCTACAGCGCGAGCCGCAACAACTGTTCACTTGTATACAACTATTATGTGCTCTACGCATTTCTTTGTTATTAATTTGAAATTAAAAGACATTAGATGATGTAAACTGATTACATTGAAAACTATACAGGAAAATTGTTAGTAATGTATGTGCATTATTAAAACATGTTGTTTCTATAAAAATGTTAGACTTTTAAATATTGCATTGTAAAATTTAATTAGTGAACACTTACTAATATATATATGTTATAAATAAAAAACAAAAATCACAAGTGAAAATTATTAAAATGTCTTAGTACTTACTCTAGCAGTTTGCAACTAAACAAACACTTTAACATTAAATTATAATTAAACAGGAACAGAAAAATCATTATCATTTCGTTGAAATAATGACTAGAAAGTAAAATAGTATAAAAGTGGTATTTTCAACGTGTTAACTTTAACGTTAAAAATAAAAATAAATGTTATTAAGAAATTAGATACAAATAATTGTAACAAACATAATATTTTGTATTATAGATTGTATAAATTTACTTTTAAATAAAATAGTTTTTAGGATTTTTATATCATTAAATGATACACAATTAATACTATTTTTTCTTCAACCAATGTCTGTAGAGTGAAACAAATTAAAAATTATTCAGTTATCTAAAATTTTAATATCATATCTAATTATAATATTTTTATTTTATAATTCATAACCTAGCAGCATAAGCAATTGGGTAGGCAATAAGAAGTTAGGTATTTTACAATTTATTTTTAGTATTTAAATGAAAAGATTACACACAGCACATGATACTTATGCATAAATTAATACTATGAATATAAGGAGATTTATATTTTATATTTTGTTTTGCAATTGGGCAATTCTTATAAATACGAGAGTGGTTTTTAGCGCTATAGCTTTTAGTCCTAGAGATTCTGAAATATGTTCAGGTAATCTTACTTGAAGTCTGCTTTCCGTGAAATTTAGT